AAAAATATGTATTTATATGCTCATATCAGAAAACTGACACAACAATAACTGTTCATGGTCACACCAGGGTTCTGACATCGCACCACCTTCCATATGATCACACACACAACGTATTTATAAGTGTATTTGTTGTGTTATTATTATTTTTATTTTACTAGTATCTGATTTGTAACCCTTTTCATCCCCTCTGGGGGATGTTGTGTGTTAATAAATAAATGTCTTTGTGTCGAAATGGTAACAAAATGGCGAAACTATTGCGAAAAAAATGAAATATAAACAATAGTCAGCTTGAAACAAAAGAAATAAATCGGATTAAAAGTCGTCTTATCTCCTCTCTTTTTACCTTCCATGCCTAAACATAAACTCACTCTGATTGACTAAAATCTGTATATTTTCAATCTTAACAGAATACCCGGTAATTATCTTCTTCACTGAACAGATTGGGTTTGTTGATTAGTTTTGGTTGCACCATGTTATAAATATGTCTTCAATTGATGGATGTGTCCTTGATCTACTGTGGAACTATAATGGTTTATAGTTCCATGGTCTACTGGTTTTCTCACATTGTTATTGGTTTGGGGTTATTGTATGGGACTTAATTATTAGCTAGATTTTTGCTAAATTTGTCAAATCTGCTAAAAATTGAACCCAGGGAATATTTTCCCCTTTACAGTATTTTAGGCATAGAGTCTGTCTGTGGTGTACAATGGAAAATATTTTAACTAATGACAGAAAATGTATTTTGTATCTGTAGTTCTCTGTATGTTAAAAACTACAAGTAGTTAAATCCCATAATCTGACAAATATTAGGTTACTTTTACAACCATATATCGCCTTTAACATTTACATATATTTACAATTTAAAAAAAAAAGTACATGTACATTGATTATTTAGTTTTTGAGGAAATACAAATTCAAATGTATGGCCATTCTGTAAACATCAAATTTTAACTATTTCTGGATTCTATGGCATTTGTAAAGACAACATTTTGTGAATGTCACTGACATTCTGTTTGTATGACCCGAACAAATTTGTACTGTACAAAATAGGATAGGCCCAAAATAAATGTGATCTAATTGTATTGTATTGTAGAATGTAATACAATTAATTGAAGTCATCAGGGTACGAATTGATATGTGTATTATGCAAGAAAACTAATTTGGTTCATTGAATTTTCTAAATTGAAGTCTTGTTAGCTGTGTGGATTTGTAACCATTGGTTCTGTGTACAGTGAATGGCAGAAAACTATACTTCGTAAATCCAGATTATCAGCTTGCATTTAAATTCAAGTGTGGAATATCGATTTATTTGAGAACTTAAAACATTGTTTTCACCTCACTAAACTGTGTGTACCGGTACCTTCAGTTACATAGATGTGAGATTTCTGTGATGGATGAGTTAGTCAGATTAATTATGGTTGTCAAAATTTTGTTTTTTGGTGAAAAACATTAGACTCCTCATGGTAGATTTGTTGTCATAAAAATACTGAAAGCGACACTTTGCTCTAAAAAGTCAAATGCTGCATGTTCCTTTCAATACCCTACTTATAATATTTAAATGATGTAATGATTTTAATAGCATTCTTGAGAATGACATTGTGTGGAAGTCACTGCGACCTCACTGTCTTAGAAACCTTAATACACTAGTAAAGTGGTTTATGTATAATCTGTATAAAGGTTGAGTCCAGTACTGTCATATATGATTATTGATAAGAGATCCGTCATAAGATAATATTAAGTGTTGACCCAAAGTACATTGTCCAGAATTAAATCAGTCGCTGTCATGTCCCTATGGTATATACATCTATGTATTTTGGAGAAATTAATTAAATCAGTCGCTGTCGTGTCCCTATGGTATATACATCTATGTATTTTGAAGAAATTAATTAGTAACAAATGAGGACATTCTAAAAGAACTTTAAAATTTTTCATACTTAAAGTGAGTGAAATATTTCACCAAATGAATGACTAAGATGATACCAAGCTTAATTGTCATGTGATTTTTTTGTAGAGTTAAGCCCAACTTTGTTAAAAAAAAGTCAAAATACATACAATTGTGATTAATAATTCAAAAACTAGTTAGGGTATGTACCGGTACTTCAAGTTTATTCTTTAAAATGTAGAATAGTAAAAATCACGAAAAATACTTTAGTTTTAGGAAATTCTGTTCTCAAAATGTGTTGGTCATCCTAAAGAACAAATGTTAATTCTATTTTGGAAAGCTGATATTCAGGTCACGTTCCATCACAGCTAAACAATATTTTTGTCTACCAATAGATGGTGACATTCAGATATTTTCAAGTACCCTGTTTAGCTCCGCTGTCGACTTTGTCGAGCAAAGCTTATCAAATGAGTGATTGTCGTCCGTGTCAATGTTTTACTTTTTCGACTTCTTCTTGAAAACTACAAGCCTGAATGCTTTGATACTTGGTGTATATGTACCTTGGGTAGACCTCTCTCAGATTTGTTCATTTCATGATTATATCTTCAATTCTCTAATTTTGGTGAATATTTTTGTCATTTTTGGTAAAAAGTGATATTTTCGACTTCTTGTTAAAAACCACAAGTCCAATTGCTTTGATATTACATATATTATAGGTACTACATGTGAACCTCTCTCAGATTTGTTAATTTTGTAATGATATCTTTAATTCTCTAATTTTGGTGAATATTGGTGAATGTTATGAATTTTAATTGTAATTACATAATACATATACATATAATTATTCACTTACCGGTACAAAACTCTTTTTGCATCAAGAGTGATACAACTATACATGAATTTTTAGCAGTTTATCAATTTAATATACAAGGTCAGTAATGTCACAGTGGTAGTAAACCATTATGGAAGTTAGGATAATGACTGTTGCAGAGTCAGACCATTGTGGTGGTACATGTATGTAATGTCTGATGTTCACTCAAACATAACATTAGTTAAGTCTGTCACATTTGCATAGCGCAACATTGTTATTTGTTTCCCATCAAGTTTTGATTTTGTAATATGATCATATTCCAACCATCAACCAAAAATGCTATATGTGATCTAGCGACAAGTCTTCTTTATGTCTTGAAAGTAGCTACTCACAAAACTGAATTAAAAAAAAAATTCTATGGAAATGTTTTGCCATTGGCAAAAGCGATCTGACCCTGGTATTTTGCTAATACTGCAAATGTGGTGGTTGTTAATAAACGTGTCACTTCAGATGTCAAGGACTTCTGATAAAGTACAAATGTACAATAAAAGATGAGACCATTTGCATCAAGCCCATCTCCTTGTGTTTGTTAAGTTACTGATATCAGTAAAATACATTATGGGTGTATGACATTGCCTTTAGGGTATATACTATATTTGTTCTATTAGAAACACATCTCAAATAGAAGCAAACATTCACCGAAAATTACATATAGTGTACAATAAGTATTCCAATTTAGGCATTAGGCGAGAGTGAAATACTTGACTCAAAAGTTTCAAATAGAAAGTAGTAGTGCTTAGTAGTAAGTGCTCACAGTAGTGTAACACTATTTTACAGGCAAATAACTTGTTTTCAAGGTGTTACAGACATTGATTATTACTCGATCGTGATTATATTGACGTAAAAAAATTGATCTATTAGCTTGTTAAGAAATGCAAGTAAAATTCAACTTAGTTTTATTGAAAGCAAATTTTTTAGTCACAAGCAAACACTGGTTACAAAACAATATTCGCCATGGTTTTTCCATACTCAAGTTGACCTAATACTACTACATCCTTTGACCCGATAGGTCGAGCAGGTTATTAACCAATTAGAAAACTGGATTGTGCCAGTTGAACGTATTTGTGAATTTCCAAATGACTGAGCATACAATCTCTTGGCTTTAATTTTGGTGGAAAAACAGCACTAGAAAAAGATAATCCAAGCAGAAGAAGTCCATGTATTCAACACTTTTCATGATAACAGCTTGTAATATAAAATTGAGTTTACACTAGTCACAAATAAACCTTGTATTCTTGAATAGGCGTCAAAAACTATAAAAACCCTTGAGGCGTCAGTAATGATTGAAAATGAAATGTTTCAAGAGTAAGGCTTAAATTAAAATATTATGTTTGATTATTAGAATAAATTTGAGGTTTTGGAGGGAGAAATTGTTCATTCTCCAAATAAATTGTAATCTCTTATTAATTTATTAATTTCATAGACAAAAAACAGTTGTAATGAAATTCAGTAGTCACAGACTTCTAATCAAAACTACATGTATTGCAATTTTATTATTATTGGGTAAATATAATTAAAAAATTGATTAAGTTACCAATAATATATAGTGTACAGTGAAACCTATGCAGTCCTGATAGCCATGTGGATAACTATTACGGTGTTGATTATTTGTAGGTATCTGTGATTGGAAAACTTAGATTTAGATCTGTACATGTACTATTATTCATAGTACAGTGTTGTGGGTAAATTATAAAACTTAGCTAGACAGTAGATACTGTGTCAGTAGATATTGCTCAGTGTTCTACCCAGGGGTTTCATCAATTTGCATGGATTAGCAAATTATTGGTTATTGGGGAGTATATAACAAAACACACCATGCAGAAACTCAAATAAAAAGTTGAAAATTTATTCTTTACCACTACAAAAGTATTAACATGTAGTGTATAAGCTGCAGACGTATAGCACTACAATTATAGAATTGATCAGTCAAACTGTCTTATCCTATTTAAGTTCTAAATAATCGAGATTCGCCTGGTCTTCAATTTGGCCCGTTTCTCTACAACTTTGGTGAAGTTGAACTCAGAAATAGGTGGACCCTCTACCTTGATCATCATCAGCCAGTTCAAAACCTTTTCTGATAGCTTGTATCTGGATTCTGTCTTGACTTGTGCCATTGTGGAGAAACCCCTTTCACAATCTGAAATAAGGAAGAAAGAAACAGGTTATAAATAATTCATGCTGTCTGATCTATCCATGAAACTATTATGTAACTGATTGGTTGAGTGTAATGAGTATACAGTTGATACTTACCTACAGTTGATACTGGGAGAACCATTGCTGCCATATTGCTCAAGTTGGGAAACAAGTGCTTGTAGGCTGAAGTGAGCATCTTGAGGATGTCATGATATGGCTTGTTCTTATTCCTCATCATTGTCTCTTTGAATAGATCCCACTCAAATAAAACCACTTCTTCTTCAAGAACATAATGTTCACACAGTAGCCATGAAAATAAAATGTATTTAAACAAATAAAACACTTTAAAACATATCACCAGTTTTGCAACACCAAATATCTACACTTGTCAACAATGATAATGAAATATATTTATACTAACCTCCAGTTTCCCTTTTTGATTGGCATCTTCTATAATGTCCTGATGAATTGGTTGTGATGAAACTAGGATCAAACACTGTGAAACTGCTTACTAACTTCACATCTGGGTATCTTTCCTCATGATTTGATAGCACACTGTTTATTATATTTATAGTATATCTAGAAAATAGAATGAAAGAAAAAATTTAATTTATATAAAACTAAAGTCACTTATTAATTTTTAGTAATTACAACAGACTAAAAACATGGGAGTGTGCGAGATCATGTTTACACTTACCTGGGTTTTTAATTCTGTCTTTGCAACTTCAGTAGGTGGAGTAATATGCACAGATAATGTTTCATCATATCCATTTGCATCAAGATGTTTAATATTGTCACCTTCATGATATGCCAAATGTCTGTTTGTTGTTATTGTACTTGATACAACAGGGTTAATCAATGACAGGTCAACATTCTCACGCTGAAAATAAATGAGAGGAAACTTGTTATAACAATTCTAAATTGTTCATTGCAATTGGGCAAGTGATAGTAGCCACCAACAGACTTTGTTGGTTTACAGAGGAAATAAAACACTTACCTGAAAGAGTAGTGATAATCTGGTCAGGTGAGGCAATATATCACACAGTACATTGTATATACAGAGTGGCTACAAACTTGTATTTCTTCAAGAAAGATGCCAAACCGACTGATGTAGCATTATGTCGCTCTGACCCCTCTCTTTCCAAACTCATAATAACTGCTGGTAAACATCTCTTCAAGGTTGACACTGCACGTTGATAGCCATCACACTGCTTTGGCTTCCTTCAGTTTTAGCTGAGGATCTCAAAATATTTCCTGTAAAAGACACAAAAATAAATCAAATTAATATTAAATATAATTGAATGACTATAGACACATACTACATGTATGTTGTATAGATCGATATTGGAATGTGCACTTGCCTGAATGTCATGTAGTCCAGCCATTCTCACAGGCGAGTTTTGATAAAAGTTAAACAACTGCTGCAGTATGCTGCTGAACTTGTTCAAATATGGGATATTATTCACTGCTTGTGAAGATGCAAGGGCCAGTCTGTGTGCAATACAATGTGTGTTGATCATTGCTGGGTTTTTCACTCTCAACATGGCTAAGTATAAGTAAAAAAATTACCAATCATGTTTAAGAGCTCTGATTTAAAACTATTTTTTAGTAATTTGACAATGGTTGGTTCTAATGACAAACAAAAATACATTTACACACTCCATTTCTTTTCCACCATTACAGCAGCTCCATATGATCCCAATCCTGCACAGCTGTTGAAAGATATGGACTTTTTCTCAAATAACTCTTCAGTGCTTTTGGTAATTGAGACAGCTGTTCCATCAGCAAGATCATCCGTATTAACAAAGGCAGTTTTTACCTAATAATGAAGAGAAAAGAAAATATTTAATGTAGCAACTCTATACAAAGAACAAACAGATTTGAAAACAAATTCAACAATTGGTTGGCAAGATTAAAACAGTATACTTGTTTCACATGTTTCTCCAGTGAACTTGATATATTTTATGTATGATATTAGCTGCTTCAGAATGGCTACAAAATGCATGTCAGTAGTTTCATCCATCATGATGCTGAACACTGGACTTCTCTGTATTTCTAAGAATATCACTAATATCACCAGTCATAGTTGCTAACATTTTATGTAACATTCGCTCTGAATGATACATGTATTTGGCATATTACCCCAAAAAAATTTACCAGAAATATTTATATAGTTATTTTAAAAATGAATACTCATTTAATCAAAAACACTTACAAGAAAATACTAAGGTAAGTTGTACTAATGTGCAAACCATACAAAATAAATCATAATTTTTGTAAAACCCCAAATAAATAACATGCATGGTGGTTTTCCAGAAACCCAGTTAAAAGTTGCAAAACAAAATGCAACAATGAAAAATATAAATACCTGATTAAGATGAGAGATACGAACAGCCAGATAGTTGCATTAATTCCAGTAGTGATTTATATTTTGTTATATGAGCCACTTCATTCATTCTTGCCAACCAATACACAGCTCTGAATGCAGTTTGGCGATTGTAGTTCTGCTGTGTGACAAACTTGTATTGACGACTGTTTTCCTTCGATTCTTGGATAATTGACATCGCTCTCTTGTGCATCACGGACTTCGAGTGTTTGTCAACTCCTTGCTTTGTTATGTTTGTACATGCTATGGAACTCCATACTCATGAACCTTAATCTGATGATAAATTAAATTTACCACAATAATCACATAGCATGACTGTATTAAGTTAAAAAAACAGCACAGAAATGTGTTATTGTCAGAAACGAAAATAATGGCAGTTACGGTTTGTAAATACACCTTTTTCAAAAAATAATATTACGGAAAGAAAAAATCGCCCATCTTCAAGCACCGGAATCATGGTTTCTATACATCTGAACGAAATTCCCATGGAGTGAGGTTTGCTAGCCAGGGCTGCCTTATACAAGCCCAAAATTGACTTGAAAAGCAAAGCAATGAAAGCTCTATTCAATCTAAAACAGCAATTATATTCAGAAACAAATATCCCAGTAAAAATATAAATTAAACATGGCCGTCGTTGTATCAGGTTGGTTGGGTCTAAACCACGACAGCAGATTCTTTTTGACTGGGATGTTTCGATGAGACATGCTTACGTGTTGTGATCAGGATCAGCAATTGAATAATTTCAACATGATTTTGATGGACTTTTATGTGGTAGAAGTGTCGCGACGTATTTGAAAAATCATTATTGCATACTAAGTGTCCACTGAGTGTGTAGTGTACTCTTGGTGACAAGAAGTGTGTAAACGGTGTCACACTTTAAGTGTATCTTTAACATTCTAGACTTTTTGAGTGCATACTGCAGTCGATCGCTAAGGTGTCGATCACCGCTAAAAGTTGGTTGTATCTTAAAAACTGTATGCACCATCCTTTTGCTGAAAGTCGTTTGATTCTGTATCCTGCTTCATGACACACTGATGACTTTGCAGTTTGCAGTTATTTGTTCTCATTGTTATCGAACTGTTTATTTTTCAGACATAGCAATTTTGCCGACGGAAGCCACCGTAGCTGCTGGAAATGATATTCAATTTGTATGTACGATTATGGCTGATATGCAAATAGTTTGGCAAAAAACAAAAGCAGGAGAAGACGCTGTTGTTTTACAAGATAATTTGGACTACATTACGATAAAAACAACAACAGAAGATGATAATTCTAAGACTGTTAGTGTCTTAAAGATTAGTGATTTGGAAATAGAACGTGATACCGCTGCATACACTTGTCAAGATTCTGAATATAGTCGATCATTCTCTGCCCATTTAAAGGTATATCAACGTAAGTATTGTTAAAGTCAAGGGGATCTATTACGCAGAACCCTTGTCATTCAATAAAGTTTCCAATTTATTAACGATTGTTGACTGCACAGATGTTATCTGATAACAATTGCTAGGTGAACTGCTTTTAAATGACATGTTAAAGTAAATGTGGACTTGGTTCCAGTCTCTCTCCACACACTAGATAAACTTGGTCATTGTACTGTAGTCTGTAGACATGTCTGAACTTGTTTCTTGGAGATGGGCAGGGTTATTTCAATGAAACGTGTATCATGCTTGGTAGCTATTTGTCCATGCCGATTCTCTACATTCAATTACCCACTATAGACTCCTGTCAGTCAAAATGACTATTTTGAACTGTAGGCATTAATCAGCGATTCTGCCAATGATGGAGAGATAAAATTTAGGTCAGGGGAAGCCCCATGACCCCAAGATTCTTTTCCCTTACGTCACGAACCATGTGACCGAGGCCTTATGGTGGCTCACTCTGATTTTTCGCTGCCTCGAATGGAGATGAAATCTAGCTAGCTCTGCCTGGATTGCTTGCTTTTTTCCTGTCCGGGTTTCTAGCTTGGGTTGTTGCCGCTGGGCGGCATGCGACATTGTAGCTGCTAGGATAAGTTTTTCTTGTCATTTTTACCCTCGTGTCGTTTTCCCCTTTGTGTGTATCATTTTTCACAACAAAGAAATAAAACCTGGGCATCGTAGCTTAATCACGTGATTGCGCTACGTCACCTTTTACTACTGTATTTAGAAATGAATAGATATGACAGCTCCATGACTCGCTGCCGTTTTTTGGTTTCCTCGTTTTTCGAGTCGACTGTGCAGTGGTTATATTCAGAATTTACCAGCATAGAACCTGCATCAGATATGCTTTTTTGCCGTGGCTGCGTGCAAGGTTCGGGGTCTTTGTCTTGAAGGCATGCGTTTTTCACTGGAGTTCTGGGGCCTGAGATATTTTTTCAGAGCCATCAAAATCGCTGGTTTACCCGATCTTACCGACTACAGCGAGGCTGTGTCCCTGGAGGTTTTTTCCTCCTATGGGGCCCGTTGCGGGTCCCTTTGTGGATCCTTCCTCACACAGTGTTTGCCTCGGAGTTGAGGGCTTTGGTCGAAGGACTGTCGGGGCAAATTGCGTCCCTGGCAGGCCAGGTAGATCAGACGCAATCAGAGCAAGCTGTCTCCACTGCAGCCCCCCCGGTGGGCAAGCAGGAAGAAACACGAAAGCATCGTTTGCATTCAAACACGTCTCTTCCGGGGTGAGGCCGAGGCTCAGGCTAATTGCATCGTGTTTCCTCTGGAGCCTCGGCCACTAAATGCCAAAGGGGTGCTGGCAGCCAAGCCTCCGATCTCGGGGCAGAGCTTTCAGGGCATGGCACACGTTGCACCCACCTACTTTCATCCTGCCAGGGTTCGCCACATGGTAAAGGTACAATGGTAACGAATTTACCCTTGTGTCAGGTCTCTGCTGTGGGTTTTGACTCGCTTCTTACCGACCCACGGGCGTCCCCAGAGGGAACTGACCCTGTCATGAGACGCACAGTCAAACACACTCTCTCTCACATATTTAAAGTGAAAAGGAGACACAGTTCGCTCGCGTCGGATACAGCTGGTACATCGGGCGGTCCCTCAGAGTCTTCCATCCGTAACGTCTCGGTGAGCCACGCCTTTGGCGTGATATGGAGTTCCATCGATCCTAGTGATACGATGTAAATACCCCCACCCCTGATCCTAAGGCGACCACTTACAGTTGCTTCAACGCTTATAGGATCGCGGGCGTCGGGATTCAAAGCAACCCCGTCGACTTGTCTCTCCCTGCCCGTCCAAGTGCCGAGTGTGATACACGCTGCGCAAACGCTGTTGATAGGCGGACATTGGTCAGCCACGGAGGAGGTTCGGTTAAGGCTACCAGGTGGGGTAAAATCTTGCGCAACACTTCCCGCTGGACCAAACGCTACCTGGTCGGTGTGGTTTCGGGATCAGACCCCAAAGTGTGGGATGAGACCAAAATACCCCCAACCAGATCCCAAGGCTTCTTCCCCAGACCCCGGTACCATGAATTTCTGTTTGGCAAACAGAGTAAAGGGAGACAGCAGTGTTCTATGCACGTTCTCGCCAGCTCAATATGAGACGATCCATGACACAGGAATCTGAGACCTCCGAGGCAGAACGCACCAGCCTCCTAGACCAGGGGACACATTTACTACGTGCGACATCCCCACGTGTGTCACCTGGCTCTCTTGGCCGGGGCCACTACTGTGCAACGAGACGCGGCCTTAGACGTGCGTGTTTTCGCCGGCAAGCTGAGTCAGGGGTACGTACCCACCTCAGTGACGCAGACTGGACATCTTCCACCCTCTTTGTGCGGGGAATGGTAGGTGCAGTCTCGGAGCTTCGGAGTGCAATGAACCAGAGGGTTCAGATCAAATCCGCTAGCCTGTTGGCCCTGCCAAGGGTAAGCGGAGGGCACCCCAAGCACAGAAAACACAACGCCCTAGGGCATCGTCTGCTAGCCAGAGTCAGCCAGGAGGCAAACGCTCCTACCCTTCCATGGGAGGGAAGAGTAGTGACGCATCCCCAGGGAGGAAAGAGCCAGGTGGTGGCTCTTCACACTTCTCGAGCGGTTGTTTACCCCGGCAGTGAGGGAAGCGTGTTTGACGCTTACGTCTGCAACTTAGTGACTACTTCAGGCCTTGGGGAAACTCACCTCATGGGAGAAGAGAGCACCACTACCCCCCTTGCAACTGCCGAACCCATGGCCACATATTCCTGTCGTACACAGATTGCGCCGGTGTAGCCCGGTTCGGAGGCAGCGGGTGACTGATCCCTGGACCTTTCCAGCTGGTGACATCCTGTTACGAGATACTGCTGAAATCTCCGTCTCCCCTATTGGGCACTGCCAGGGGACTCCCGCAAGGGGAAGCAATCAGGCAGGAAGTAACAGTTTGCTGGGAAAAGGCGCCATACACAGGGTAGATCAGCCCGCACTAAGTCTTAGCGCTATGCAGCATAGTTGAACGCCTAGTCAGCGTTCCCTCAGTGTACCTCAGAGAACTAATTCAGATCATCAAAATGATGACCTCGGTTCGAAGGGTGGTTCCTCAGGCCACACTACGCAGCCGCCCGGTATAACACTTGTTACAACGCCGAGCTCTCTTATGGGAACTGGATAGGTGAGTTTTTGATCTCGGACCAAGTGAAGGAAGCCCTGCCCTGGTGGTCCTCACTGGCCAACCTCGGACAAGGGGCCCCCTTGGAACCACTCACCACAGGTATGACTCTGGTAACAGATGCCTCTCCCAAGGTTGTGGAGCGCATCTATTGGACGAATAAGCCCAAGGATATGGCCCGCATTAGTTTTGGGACTACCATATCAACCGGCTCGAACTGAAAGCAGTGTACTTAGCACTGCCACGCTTTCTACCCGTAGTTTGAGACAGCAGAGTCCTGCTCTGCACAGGCAACACAGCGGTGGTCTCCTTCAAGAAGGAGGGGGGGGGGACGTGTTTCCCATCGTTGTCAGTCCTAGGGGAGCACATCCTCCTTTGGCAGGCACCAATACAATGTGGAGCTAACCGCACACCACCTTCCAGGGGTGAGAAACAGTCTGGCAGACGCCCTTTCAGGGCGGCCCCGTCTCCAGAACACGGGGAGTGGCTGATACCCCAGGCTGTTTTGGCTGTAGGATGATCCAAGGTTAGACCGGCTTGCTGCACCCCGGAATGCCAAACTTCTGACGTACGTAACACTCCTGCCAACTCCAGGAGCCTGGGGCAGGGTCGCTTTGCTAACCCCATGGACCCACTTAGTTGTGTACGCCTTTTCTCCCTTCCCGCTAGTTCACCGGGCACAGGAGAAAACTTCGACAGGTGCACACTCGCATATTATCATGGGTTGCACCCAATTGGCCAAGCAAGGCCTAGTTTCCTTCTCTGTCAAAAATGCTAGTCGAAACACCAGTAGTGCTTCTTGACTTACCAACGAGCCCAGTCGGTATCACTTACACGCATAGAGGCTCTCAGTAGACCCGCACATCTGAGCGGGCTGCCAACATCCCGTCCAGGGTGAACAGGGATTCCACCAACGCGGCCTACATTGCGAGCATACAATGATTTGTGTAGCGGAAGGGAGACTGATCCATACCATCCCTCTATTGGCCAGGTAGCAGGCTCCTTCGTCCACCTGTTTGACGAAGTGGGTTTGTCCTATCGATTGTTGGCTACAGGTCGGCCTTGTCCCCCACCATTGAGAACATACGGGAACAAGACTAGCCGATTGTTCTGTTATTAGGAGACTATTTACTGCTTTCCAGATGCAGAGACCTCATACAAGGGAAGGAACTGGGACTTGTCGGTTGTGTTATCCGCTCTAAGCAGACCGCCCTTTGAGCCTCTCCGATCAGCACCACTGAAATTTTTGACGTGGAAAATGGTCTTCCTACTGGCCCTCGTCTCAGGTAGGCGTCAGCCAGAGCTGGGGGCATTGTCCTTCTGGGATGATTTTTTTTTTTTTTTTTTTTTTAAACAATATTTTTATTTCGTTTCAATAATAGACATACAACACAAAATATTACATAACATAACGGAAAAAGGAAGGAAAATAAAAAACTAAGAAAAAGAAATTAAAAGGAGAAAAAAAGAAAAAAAAGAAGAAAAAAATGATCTGGTACAACATCTAAATTTACCCATTATCTAACCAATTAGTTAATGGTTCCCATTTCTGATAATGGATAAGCTCTTTGTTTTTGTTTATTGCGATTTGTAGTTCAATATTTCTATTTTCCCTGATCCGACTTTTATATACGTATTTTGTTGGATGAACCTTTTGAACCTTACATGTATATACATATTTTTTAAATAATAAAATAAAATGATTTAATAATATATTTTCCGGTTCACATAGACCTATAATAATATTTTTTATATTGTACACCTTTTTGCTCGTCAGTGTATTAATTGCAACATACTTAGAATTCCATTTGACTTTGTTTTGAAAATCACACCACTCATGGGTATTAGCATGAATGTTCTCTCTCCAGTCATCTGGTATTGCAGAGATTAGGCCTTGTATAATAGTATGGTATTCTGTCAAAGTGATACCTTTTATCTTCCAATATTGCCAGTCATGAAAGTTTCCATAGAAATCGATTAGGTATATTATTCTTAATACTTTTTTTCTTGCCAAACTTTTCAGATAGACTGTACGAAAGCCAATTTTTAAA